GTCCAGGCATTATGCTGGCCTGACCCTGTCACCTGGCAGAATCCACTCAGGCAATACCTTGGTCAGCCCAGGGTTCCATGGGAACTAATTCTGCATGCAGGTGTAGAGGACCCCTTTAAAAGACAGACTCCTGCCCATTTACTCTTTCTTCTCTTCCACTCTCTTCTCCCCTTCTCCCACCTATGCCCTCTTCTGCCTTCCTCTCTCTCTTCTCTCTTACTCTCTTTCTCTCTGCTCTGTTCTTCCATTTCTCCCCCCACACACCTGTAATAAACTCTGTTTAATGTACTCTCCATGGTTCATGTTCCATAGAGTGCACCTTTAATTTAGGCAGAAACCTAACAATAACTATCACATTTCTGCAACATATTCCATATGTATTATTTATAGAGTTATACTATATTATATACATATATATTATTTACAGAAATGCAATAGTTATCTGTGTCTCATAGCATACTAGGAACTTATAGACAACTTATATTTATTTGTTCTATCTGTGAGTAAATATTGGTGGTTTAGGCTTGGGTGTAGCCTTCTTTGTTTCTTACAAGATTTCCATAGGTTAGTATTGCTCAAAGTATAAGCACATGCATATGACACCAGGCTAGCCAACTGTAGAAGTCATCAGAAATAAAATAAATAAAATAATAGGTAGGTCTTGCTCACATTTCACATATAATCTGTATTTTAATGTTCAGAATCCCTCCTTTGGTTTCTCACCCCAAGATGATATCAGTGTCTCACTGTCCCACTGCATCCTCTACTCAGCTAAATTGCAGCTATGGGCCACAGTGCCCACATGTTAGCTTGTTCATCAAATTCAGTGGACAGCTTACATACAGGAGATACTCAATAAACATTAGTTGATTGAAATAATAAGATGTCATCCTGGGGCTTGAGTTCTTCGCTGTTTGGTGTGAGCCTTATTTATTCACACAGGTTAATTCTCTTACCTCTGTGAAATTCCTAAATTGGGTTTGTAGCAGATTCTTGGCAGTGGTTTTCCCAAGTTTACCATCAGGGTCAGAAGAGTTTCTGAAAATCAGAGCAATAGTAGCAATGGCCTTTTCCAGGTCTGAGCCTTTCTTCAAAGCTGTGAGAGAAGAAATGTGAAGAACCAGAAGAATGATGCTTTGTGCAGACACAGGGATGTCTTCCAAGGGAACTGTGTGGAATAAGTATGGGATATGTCTGTAGGTCTGGCCCAGTGCTTAGGCACATTGCACTGTTCTTACAGTGGAATTTGGGGTTCCTTTCATAGCATTTGATTTAGAATTAGGCCAAGATTTGACACCAGCTTGCCATGTGGCCCCAGGGAAAATCTCCTATTTCACTAAGCCTTGGTTTTCTGAGATGTAATGTTATTCAGTATGTTAAAGGGAAATGGGATCAGGGTAACCTGTGGCATAATAATAACAGCCACAACATGCCTTTGCCTCAAACCTTGTGATGTTTCAGTTATTTTCTCTGATTTAGGAACCTTGGTGGGGAGGGCAGTGCTAATTCCTTCCTTCCCACGGAACAGCACCCAAGTGCACACAGAGAGATGAAAAATGAACCATTTGAACAGTTCTATGTGCTAAGCTCCTTTAGTCAGCAATACATCTGCAAGGACAATCACACATTATCTCTATGACATGTTTACCTTTCTCTCCAACTAGACAACCCTCTTCATGAAGCCAAGAGTCATAGTTTCATTTTTCTCCCTATATTCCCAATACCAGCACCAATGCCTGCTGCATAGTAGGGCTAGTTAGTGCTGTTGAGTGAATGAGTAAGAGGAAAAGGAAGAAATCTTACAGCTTTCAGCCCAGGCAATATACAACCATCATGGGTTCCAGGGATGCTCAGGTAGAGGAAGGATCAGAACAATGAGATGAGGAGAGTAGATGTGATCTCTGCTCATATACAGCTTATGATTTAGTAGAGAAATTAACATTAATCAGGATAATACATATATATGCATACACACACACATACACACACACACACACACACACACACACACATATATATGGCTTTATATATATTTAACAATGTGTGAATGACATCTATTTTTTTTTGTCTTTCCAACATTTGGATTTGTCACTATTTTTATTGTAGCTACTTTTGGTAGGTGTCAGTAATATCTCAGTTTGCCTTTTATTTGTATTTCTGAGACTAATGGTGCTCACAACTGTGTGCAGCCCCAGTGCCAGGAATTCTAACACCCTCTTCTGGCCTCTATAGGCATTAGACACACACATGGTATGCAGATGCATGCAGGGAAAAGCCCGTCCACATAAAAATTTCAAAAAACAAACAAAAAAAGTAAAAAACAAGAACAAAAGAAAAGGGGAAAAAACAAACCATGGGTCAGAGGGGGAAAAAAGATCTTAATGTAAGACCCAATCTTAGAAAAAAAACAGGCAAAACACCCCAAGATGCAGTGATAGACATAGATGAGAACTTATTTTTTTTAAGACAGGTTGTCTGTGTAGCCCTGGTTGTTCTGGAACTCATTCTGTAGACCAAACTGGCTTTGAACTCAGATATCACCCTGCTCTTGCCTCCTTAGTGTTGGTTTTAAAGGTGTGAACCACTATTCCCAGCTAAGAACTTTCTGAAATTGAGTATAATAGCACAGCACATAATCCTAAAAATTGGCAAATGGGACAATGTGACATGAAAAAACTGTGAAGTAGCAGAAGCAATTGCTAGAGGAATGGGCCAGCCTACAGAATTGAGGAAACCTTATGTGATGGGGGAGGTCCTTCTGTGTATGTGTTTATCTTATTGGTTGTTGAATAAAGCACCTTTCAGCTAATGAGGCAGCAAAATAGGTGGGACTAAGAGTCAAGGAGGATTCTGGGAAATGTAGTAAAGAAGTCTTGTGATCCAGATAGGAAGTGACATAGCAGGCTGACTCAGAATATAAACAGGGACAAGAAGGAAATCATCCTCTTGCTCTTCCTCTTCCTCCTGCTCTCTTCTCTATGGAGCTGCCATGTGATCCTGGGAAAAGGACACCAGTGGAAGGAGTCCTCCATAAGATAAGTCTTATAAAATATATAGATTCATGATAATTAAGACTGAGCTAGCATATAAGAAATCCTAGTCAATTGGCCAGTAGCATTGTAAACTGATATAAGACTCTGTGTATTATTCTGGGCACCTATGTGGCGGCAGAGCTCTGGCGGATGGAGTAAAGACTTATCGTTATACTTGTGTCTGACAGGAATTGATGTCTAGAACCTACAAGACATTCAAAATTCAATTTAAAACATCAGCCAATGAATAAATGGACTAATGAGTTGAACAGGCAATGCCCAAAGGAAAAAAATACAAATGATTAAGAAATGCTGATAGAAGTTCAACTTTCTACAAAACAAAAATAAAAAAAAATGAGTTGAGCATGTATGTGTGTGCATGTATGTGTGTGCTTGAGAAAGAAAAAGTATAAAAATATGTGAGAATGAGTGTGTGAATGAGAGTGTGTGTGCATTTTCAGACTTCTGGTCTGTTTCTTTAGTTTCTGATTGACACCATACAATCATGGTTTCTGTAACTTTAAACAGAGTCTCACCAATGAGGAGTGTGGCTCTTGTTGCTTCATCTTTTTTTGTATTTTTTGGTTTTTCGAGACAGGGTTTCTCTGTGTAGTTTTGGAGCCTATCCTGGCACTCACTCTGGAGACCAGGCTGGCCTTGAACTCACAGAGATCTGCCTGCCTCTGCCTCCCGAGTGCTGGGATTAAAGGCGTGTGCCACCAACGCCCGGCTGCTTCATCCTTTGTAGATATTATTTTGGTTATTGTAAGTTGCTATTGGGTCATTCTATGGCCTTTTCTTTCCAAACAAGGTTCAGAATAATCTCATCTGTCTTCAGAAACCTTGCTGGGACTTTAATGCAGATTTCACTAAAGACCAGTGGGTGGCAAACCAGTGTCTTTACTTTTTGACAACCATTTCCAGTCTGAGTTGACTTTCCAAATCCATGAGCACAAGGCTTCTCCCTGACTCTATCATGTCATCAGTGAAGAACGGATAGGTCTTTGTTGGTGGCAGGCTAATTGTAAATGGGGGAGCTGGGATTGGAAATGACAAACACATGAGCTGATGCACTCAGGGAACTCTTGGCTTGTTTTGCTTCCTGTTGAGTCTGTAACACTTTGGATAGTGCCAAACACAAAGCAGGAATCTTGCAAAAATTTGTTATTTTAACTTCTTCCTCCTTGGTCTCCTTTTTGGTTTTAGATTCTCAATTTTCTGCTCTTGTGAGTTATGCTTTCTGCTTGTAGCTTCTGCTTATCCAGATCTGCCATGCCATCTTCCCCAGGATGCCAGACTCAGAAAAATGCCCCTCTGTTCTCAGCTCTTTCTTATCCCACTCCTAACCACCTCTTCCCCCCAACCCATGCCATTCCCAGGAACCCATTTTTTCTATATGCTCAAGTGTCTAACATGTTACTGCTCATTAAATACTGGGGGACGGGCATATTTCTTATAACTCCGATCTGTTTGTCCCTATGTGTGTGTATACACATGAGCATACATGCAGTGGTGCTTTCTCTCAGCCTGCTCCAGTTTTAATAATTTTAAACTTACATTTAAGATGCTCAAGAATGAATTTCATGTATACATAGTCTAGTTTTGAAGAAACAGTTGCCTTGATGATGTATTTAGAAAAATACATGAATAATTTGGATGGATAGATTTATTCATCAATAATCAAAAATAGCTGGATATGCTTTAGGAAGGGCTTATCTTTTGAGTGTGATACTGTTCTTGGAGTACAGGAGTCAGTGGACTCTGCTGGATATGCCTGCCTGGTGAGGAAGGAGAACAGGCACTGAGTGAGTTTGTTAATAGTGTCAGACACCTTCCTTTGTTACTACACATTTCAGGTGCCATTCAAACATAATCTTATTTAATGCCTCCTCAAACTCACAGGGGAGGGTGATATTTGTGTCTTAGCTTTACACATTAGAAACCCATACTTGGAGAGATTAAGAATAGTAAAGTCACACTGCTAGGAGATGACTACAGAAAGGCTTAAGGGTTTGTCTGAAAGCTTAAAGAAAGATCAGCTACTTTGGAATATGTTTGTGCAAGGTCATCCATGCGGGTTGTGGAAGCTAGGCATTTCCCAGCTCTGGTGGGGTTCAAGTCTGGCTGTTCTCTGAATTGGGACTCCATCTGGACTGTCCAATTTCACATTCTTATCCTACCTCTCTTAAAAGACAGCATGAATCTTTCTCCCAACTGTAAAATAGCATATGCTCATGGTAAAAACTCAACTAGAAGTATTTAAAATAAGAGATAGCAAAGAGTTGTTTGTCTTACCAATATTCATGATATTTTTCTAAGGCTTTTTCTTGTTTTGTCTTTATAGTTCGCTTCTTCCCTTAATAAACCAGCAGGTTGCCACCTGTCTTTTTCACTGACTGCTTCATATAGACTTGTGAATTAATATGTGAAGCATATTGTAAGGGGCTAAGTAGGGTTAATAAAGTGGAGGTTGCTGTGTGGGTGTCTTTTATTGGCCCTCCTGTCTTTGTTATTGGGCATGGGATGTCTGAAAGGCAGCCCTTCAAGACTGCTTCATGTTCCCCTCATCTGTTCCATAGGCCACTGAAATGAATGTGTAGTTCATTCTTACTCTATGCATCTCACAAGTATGTAACACCAAACATTTGCCCTGGGCAAGGAACACTGAGTCACTTCAGAACATCTTTGACGTCTTGGAGATCATAGCAGTGAACACTCTTCCCTGGGAAGTGGAGTAATGTGACTTATTTAGTCCTTGTGTCAATCCTTTGAGGTAGGTCCAGTTTATAGATGAGAAAACTGAGTCATGGAGAGATTAAGTAGCTTACCCAAAGTCAGAAAACCAAACTGGCTCTTTTCTCAAATGCTCACTACCTCTAAGTGCTGCTTTTCAGGAAGGTGTATTCTTCCAGACTCTTTCCCAAACCCCCAGAAGGGGCAGCAGGTCCCTCTGTTTTACTTCTTTTGTTTCCTGAACATCACATCTCTATAACTCTCACACTTGAAATTCTATATTTTCTCATTTGTCTCTTACATCACTGTTGCAAAGCACAATCATAATTTAAAAATTTCCCAGAGACAAATTAAAAATTACTAAAGAGAGTAAAATTGATTTTAATAATATATATTACTCAACTCAATATATTAAAAATTTCAACAGGTAGTTAATACTAAGTTCATAAGAGATTTTATAACCCCTATTTATTAGTTTCTTTCAGTTTTAAAATCTCTATTCAAATTAATTACTTTCCTAGTACTCAGTAGCTCTCTATGGCTGGTGGATACTATGTGGGACCTGGATCCAGGTCCAGGCTGCATGTTTTCTGAGATCAGTGACGTCATTGTAATTACTTTTACATTCTTTCCGATATGTTGCAGGTCCCAGAATATGTGCAATATATGTGCTAAACTGAACTGACAACTTCAGAGCCATTTTCCACATTTGTTCCTGCTTGTCCCTAAAACATGGGACCATAAACATTAAGCATTAGGGATTTCCTAGCAAGTTAGTACCATAGAAACAGTACTCTAAACACCATGAGGTATAAAAATCACCTCATTTTAGAAATTTTCCTCATAAGTTACTTTTGCAAGTGAAATAATGGAGTCTTGTAGAACACTCATCATCTGCCCAAACCCATACTGATAGTTTAGGCAGTACTGACAGTTACTAAGATCCTATTCCACATTTGCCCAGACAACAATTCCCCCAAAACTCTACTACCTTGGCATTAAATACATATATGTGCTTACCCTATATCACTTCCCTCTAAACACTCAAAGTATATAAGACCAAACAACATATAGAGAGAAAGGGTTTCATGAACATTTCATGATCTATCCAGAAGTTTCTCACAACTCAGGTATTCTTGATCCTATTAATCTTAACTCTCAGCCAACTGTTATGGAGCAGTAGAGACACACATATTTCATCCATTCTGTGCCTTACCTCTTCTTTTGAAACTTTTATTTGAATTAGAAATAAGATTGTTTACCACGTCAACTCTAAATCCCTCTCCTCCCCTCCTCCCCACCCACCCCCAACTAACACCCCACCTATCCCGTACCCTTTCTGCTCCCCAGGGAGGGTGAGGCCTTCCATAGGGGGTCTTCTGAGTCTGTTATATCCTTTGGGATAGGGCCTACTGTGCCTTACCTTTTATTGAAGCCAGTTGTTTAGATATTGAAACACTGTAAACAAAATAAAAGAAATGGAGTCTTTCAGAGTTTGGACACTGATCTCTGTATTAAGCAATACATGATTGTTTTCACTAGATGTCCTCTGACCCTTCTATTGGGCCATTGTAGTGGTTTGAATATAATTAGTCCCCATGAGCTCATAGGGAATGGCACTAATAGGAGGTGTGGCACTGTTGAAGTAGGTGTGGCCTTGTTGGAGGAAGTCTGTCACTGTGGGGGCAGACTTAGAGGTCTCCTATGCTCAAGCTATGCCTACTTCACTTTACTTCCTGTTGCTTGTGCGATCAAGATGTAGGACTCTCAGCTCTTTTTCTCCAGCACCATGTCTTCCTGCATGCTACCATGTCACACCACGATGATAATGAACTAAATCTCTGTGCTATAAGCTACCCCAAATAAATGCTTTTTCTTAATAATAGTTGCTGTGGTTATTGTGTCTGTTCAAGTAATAGAAACTCTAATAGAAATAAGTTGGTATTGCTGTGATAGTCCTGACCATGCTTTTGTTTGAACTGGGGATTAGAAATGCAGATGAATGCTTTGAGTGCTGCTTAATGGGCAATACTAGCAGGAGAATGCCAGAGAGTGATGCTGACTATGATTTGACGAATGGTGGGGGTCCAGCTCAAGAGGTTTCAGAGGAGAAGAATATGAATATGTGGCCTAGAGATTGATCTTGTGATAGTTTGTTTAAGAATGTGACTGCTTTTTCTGCTTGTCTGAAGAGTCTGACTGAGGCTAAAGTGAAGAGATTTGGATTAATTCCATTGGCAGAGGAAATCTAAAAATAACCTAGTATAGACTCCATTGTGCGGTTACTAGTGTTAACTCTAATAACCGTGTATAACAAAAAGAAGTGAGCTGAGAAAGTAAAGATACAAAATATAAAATTTGAGGAGAAAAAGTGCACCAGGAATTGGAATGGAACTAACTCCTGTGTTCAAGGAGATAAACAGAATAAGAAATGAAACAAAGGGAGTGGTGACCACAGGGCAAGATCCCACCCAGATAAGCTTCCAACTTGTGAAAAGGAATTAAAGAAAAATGTAGAACCGGATATGGTGGTACACACCTTTAATCCCAGCACTTGGAAGGCAGAGGCTGGTGGATCTCTGAGTTTGAAGCCAGCCTGGTCTACAGAGCAAGTTCCTGAACATCCAAGTTCCGGCAGTGAAGGAAACTATTGAAAACAGAAAGCTGGTGAAGATGTAATTGAACAAGGAGGCCATGTTCCATCCCCTTCAAGCAACAGGACTTGGTAGGCTTGTTCATGGAGCTCTGGCTGTGAAGTCAAGGACAGAAGAAAGAGATATGGAATCTCCCTCTGTGACTAAGGAAAGCTGCTGAGGCCAGACATGTGTAAGGGATGTCCCTGCATTGAGGTCCAGAGAAGGCGTTTTGTGAAGTTGTGAAGGAGAAGCCTGGATTGCTTTGGAGACCACAAGATGTTGGAGATGCTAGAGTTTTGGGATACCTGCAAAGGAGAGCTACTAAGAGGGAGTGGAACCAGCCCAAGAGAAAGAAGTGTGCCACACACAGTCAACAAAGCTGAAAGGAATTGGAGATTTGAAGAGTGTTTTGACATCAGATATGAGATGAAGGGTTTGGGGTTTGCCCAGCTGGTTTTGGTCTTCTTTTGGTCTATTATTTCCTCACTTTGCTCTCTTCTCTATGTTTTAGAATGGTAATGTATAATGTATATCCTGTGCCACTATATGTTGGAAATATGTGATCTGTGTTTTTTTTTAATTTTATACTGGATTACAGTTAAGAGATTTCATTAATCTCAGAAGAGACTTTGGAATTTAGAATTTAAAACAATGTTGAACCTATGATAGAATTTAAAAACAATGTTGAGATTGTAATACCCTATGGGAACTTTTGAAGTTGGATTAATGCATTTTGCAATATGATAATGGTTACAAGCTTATGGGGGCCAGGGAATGGAACAGGTTAGTTTGAATGTAATTGGCCCCCATAAGCTCATAGGGAATGGTGCTATTATAAGGTGTGGCCTTGTTGAAGTAGGTGTAGCCAAGTTGGAGGAAGTGTGTCATTGTGGGGGAGGCCTTGGAAGTCTCCTATGCTCAAGCTATGCCTAGTTCAATTCAATTCCTGTTGCCTGTGACACTCTCAGCCCCTTCTCCAGCACCATGTCTGCATTCATATTGCCACGTCCCACCATGATGATAATGGACTAAATCGATGAGAGGTAAACCACCCCAATTAAATGTTTTTTCTTTTGTGATTACTTCTAATAATAATAATAATAATAATAATAATAATAATAATAATAATAATAGAAACCCTAAGACAGGCATTCTTATGTCAACTTAAGTACTTGCCACACAGTAAAATACTGTATGGGCTATGGCTGTAGCCCACATATCCACATAGTCCTGGTTCTTATACAGCCCTGTGCCTTCAACTTGGAAAGGGACAAAGGAGAACATTTTTTTTCTTTTTTCCTTTATTTTTTATATATTTGAATTACAAACAAGATTGAGTTACATGAGAATCCCAGTTCCCTTCTCCCTTCCTTCCTCCCCTACCACCTCCACAACTAAAATCCTACCTATCATATGTCCTTTCTTCTAATCTACACCTGACTCAACCTTTCTGCTCCCTCATGACCTCTGCATCCTTCCTTTTCTTCCATTCTCATTCTCGTAGCTCCCTCCCCTGTCTTCCCATGTTCTCAATTTGCTCAGGGGATGGTGACCCTTTCCCCTTCTCCAGGGGACAAACTTTCTCTCTTTTAGGATCCAAGGAGAACATTTTACTGGAGGCTTCTCTGTGCCTTGGGAAGATGGAAGGCCACAGTGATTTCCAGAACTGAGAAATCACTTGTAGATGTTTGGGCTTCCATCATTCCCTGGTCCTACATGGCTATGAGGACTGAAGCTGTCATATACCTGGAACTCTACTCAGGTGAAAAATAAAAAAATAAATTCTTGTTTTAGAACAGTTATTGAATGCTAAGTCTTTAAATGTACGTTCTCTAGCTATTTAGCATACCTACCTAGCCCAGGAATGAGATGCATTGTTTGGTGGTAGAGACATATTCTCTTGCAGTTTAGTGTCTAGTGCAAAAAGACAGAGATCAAACAGGTATTGCAGTACCGAGCAGCAGAAACACATACAAAGAGAAGAGAAGGGCTAACCTTGTCTACAGTCAGGATAATGAAATGAGCTAAATGAATCAGTAAAAGAAAGGGAGGAATGCTTCCAGTAGAGGGAACACTGTATTGAGGTTCTGAAGTAAGAGAAATCAGTGATGGAAGAACTCAAACATGGAACACAGTTGGAAACTAGAGAAAGAGACAGTGAGGGAAGGGAAGACTGGAGTCAAGGATTAGGTTCTGAAAACACTGAGACTTAGAGCCTTATGAAGTGAAGAGGGTGGGGGCTATGTATCAGATAAGCATTTGGGCTAATCTGAAGTAGGTTGAAAGTAGCCCCATTGGAGGCAAGAGAAGGGCAATTACTTTATAAACAGTAAATCAAAATTTGCATGATTTCATAACCCACCCCCAAAGGACTGGTAAAGATAAAAGAACCATAGAATACAGTCAACAGCAGAGTAGTACTGGCACCTCCTTAGAAGGAAATTTGGGGTTTGAAATCTGGGGTTGGAATTAACTAGTAGAAGCATTATTATTATTATTATTATTATTATTATTATTATTATTGTGGGGGGCTTCACTTTTCTCATTTAGGAGCTAGCTGCCTGCCTCTGTTATCTGTTAGGACCTCTAAGGACCTCTAGGCTCTTCTCTATTAATTTCTCCTGATTTCTGAAACTGCTGCACCATGATGGTGCATCTACAGGATGGAAGGGGTGTCATCTTTTCACTTTTCAAAATGTGTGCTTGCCACATAGCACATGCTAGTTTTTATCACCCTGATTGATTTTCTCTCTCCTCCATTAGCAAGTGAAGACCCTGACAAGCCAGAGCTCTGCAGTTTATCCCCACACCTCCCACCTCTTCCCCGAAGAGCTCCTTACCCTTGTTAGGTGTTCCAAAACTGCTTTTGGAAGTAAAGTTAGTATCCATGAAAAAGAACATTTTTCACTTGTTAGACCCAGTTTGCAAATTGGAATAATATGCAAGTTTCCCATCATAGATGCTATAGAAGACTATGCTGTAGTGTAGAAATCAGTACAACGTTTAGTTTGCAAGTATTTCTCAAGAGGTAATCAAAGATCTTTCTGTTAATTCCATCTTTTCAGCTCATTGACAAAGCTTCAAGGTTGTTCTCTTTGTTTCTCCATTTTAATTTCAACCTGGACTTGGGTGGCAATAGACAGCAATTTTTCAATATTGTGGCTCCCAAGTCATGGATAGGAATAGGTTGGAAATTCATCTGCAAGTTCGCTGAAACTCAGTAAACGAGAGTCAAGTGCCACTGACCTTTTAGGCATTTTGCTAGGTGTTCAAGTGGATGCTGGGGCTTCTGAAAGCCTGGGCTCTCCTCCTCGTGGATTGTGTGATCCTGGGTGCTGTGCATACAGCCTGCTGTACTCTACCTTCCTTTGTTGTGCATTAGCTCTTCCTAAGCAACAATCACCAGCTCACTGCTTCTATTGTCACCACTCCATGGCAATCACACAGTGACACTTGAAAAACCTTCCCTAGTGTTATTGTATGCAGACCTTAAATCATTCATATGTTTAATCAACATTCGAGTGTCTTAGGTGGGCCAGGCACTATGCAGGCTTCTCAGAACACAATCCTGATCTCAATGTGTTTACTAGAATGGCCAACATTAATTAGCAAGTATTTAAAGTGTGGGAGCTGTAATGAGTTGTCCTACATAAGCTGGGGGTCAAGAGGTCAGTCAACCATCAGGTGGAGCAGAAGCTGAAGAGAAGGAAGCTATCTGGGCTATACAGAGACCTCCAGACCACAGTGAAGAATTCTGCATCGAAGTCAAAATAATGGGAGCTCAGTGAAGGTTAGTGAAGCTAAGTTCACAGTTTGGAAAGATTATTGCAGTTTCAGTGATAGTTACTTTAGAGAGACGAAGAGAGTGAATGCAGAAAGACTGTTATGTTCCTGGTAATTTTAGAGTTCTTTCTGTGAGAGCCTGGGGATGCACTATTGCAACTGAATGAGTCTACTTCTGAGTGAGTCTAATTACATGCTCCATAGTTGCTGAAGTCACTGATGAGGCAATGAGAGCAAACAATAAGAGAAGCTGTAAGAGTCGTCATTCAGGGTGCACTTTGACCTTAAGATGCTGTTTTGTCACTGCTGTGTCCCCTCCTGTATCACTATTGCACAGTCAGTATGACCATATCACACTCCCATTGTATGCTTCTTTTAAAATGTGTGTGTGTGTGTGTGTGTGTGTGTGTGTGTGTGTGTGTGTGTGTAAGCCAGGGGCCCTTCTTGATTGCTGTCCACTTTACACTTTACTTTTTGAAACAGAGTCTCTCACTGAGCCTGGACCTCATAGACCACCTGAGCAAAGCTCTGAGATTATAGCCACATATGCCTATGCCTGGCTTTTTATCATTGGTGGTAGAGAACAAAACTCAGATCCTCTTGGCTATATGGGAAGTATTAATTGACTGAAGCCGATGCCTGCTTCTTTTTATAGGCTCTCCTTTTCTCTTGTCCCTCTAGTTTTTCACTAATATCCTTAAGAGTTTTCATGCAGCCTGGGAAGGTGAGGGAGAGTTTGTTTAGCTCCACTAATTACAATTGCCCACAACGGCCTGTTTCACTGCCAGCCCATCCTCTAGATGGCCAGTTACCCCACACTGCTCTTGTGAGCCTGAATTGATTTTGAGCCAATTTCACTGCTCAGATTAAAGCTTCAGAATTACACTAGCCCCTCATGGTGCCTGTGGATCTTGCACTTTAATTGCAGAGGCAGGAGGACAGCATAGTTTGTTTGGTTTTTTAGCTGGGCTGGGTTGCATAGTGCAACCCTGACTCAAAAACTAAGAGATAAACATGTTTAGGGTTTCTTTTCATGGCAAACACCTTGGCTAGGATTTTGGGATCTGGATCTTTGTGAACAACTCAGCCCCTTCTGATATGTACCGTCAAGAGCTGTAGTCTGTAGGGCGCTGGCAGTGGAACTAGTATTTATCCCCAGTGCATGAATGGGTGTTGGGAGCCCATTCCCTATGGAAGGAAACTCTTCAGCCTAGATACAAAGGGGAGGGCCTAGGTCCTGCTGCAAATGATGTGACAGACTTTGATGATACCCCATGGGAGGCATTACCCTCCATGAGGAGTGGAGAGTGGATGGGATGGGAGTTGGTGGGGGAAGTAGGGGAGCAGGAACTGGAGTTGGTATATAAGATTGTTTTTAATTTACATAAAAATTAATTTTAAAAAAGGTCTGCTCATAACACTCATAGTAGGCTTTAAATGCAGAAGGGTCTGGGTTTTCATGCCAATTCTGCCACTTCCTACTTGTATTTTCTGAGACAGGGACATTCAAAACTGTAAAGTCTGATTTCTCATCTGTAAAACAACACATTTTTTATGGAGCTATTGTTGAAGCTGGATGGCCGCATGTAGGGGAAGCACTTAACACTGCCTGATATGGAAAAGGAAATCAATAAATAATGCTTCCCAAGAGGGTGATGTTGGGGATGATTTTATCATTAGAGTCCTGGCAAGATGCAGGCTCTGACTGAGATGGTGCCAAGGGTGTTCATCAAAGGATGCTCAGTGGGAAGAGGAAGGACACTGAACACATGGGAGGCACAGGAAGTTGCTGCCACTCTTTCCTGATGGGCACCAGCACTGTGGAGCCTGGGGAGAGCTGAGTTCTCTGAGCAGAGACCACTTGACAGTCTGCGGTGGGAAGCAGGCAGCCAGTGCTGTAATGGAAGTGGAGCTGGGAGGGGCTGGAATGAAATTTCTCATCCTCTGACCTGATCCTGTGCCTCCCATTATCTAAGCCCACCTGTAAGGCAGTAGCAAAGAAGGCTTGCAGGAATAGCTGCAGGGATGGGTTACCTGGGGCATAGCAAGGGTGGGGGATGGAGTGGAAGGGAGAGAAAAACAAAAGCTATAAATAGTGGGAGAAAGGAGGTGATGGTGATGAAAGTAGAATGACAGGAATCTGAGGTGTGTTGATGGGCTTAATAGGTTTGAAATGAAACTGGTGCATTCTTTGAAAAACACGTGTTTCTAAAGACAGGTGGCAGTGGGCCATTTTTTCCACCTCAGAGTTTCATAAAATTCTGGGACATTTAGACTGTTTATAATAGACAGTCTTTTTGTGTATTTTATTAATTTATTTTTTTACATTACAATTCCTCCCTCTACTCTTCCTACTCCCTCCACTTCCCCTCTCCTCCTATTTGCTCCAGGGAGAGGCTAAGCCCTCTCCTAGGAAGTTTACTAAGTCTGTCCCATCATCTGGTTGAAGCAGGACCAAAGCACCTCTCCACCACCACCCCCCTGTGTCTAGGCTGGGCAAGGTATCTCTCAATATAGAATGGGATCCACTAAGTCAGTCTGTGCATTAATCTTAGATCTTGGACCCACTGCCAGTGGACTTATATATTGTTCCAATCATACCATATAATAGACAGTTTTAAGCAGTTTGGGTAAAATCTTTTTTTTAAAAAAAAATAAATCCCCTAGACAACTGGACCTTGGGACAATTTGAAGACAGTGTATTGAGTATACTGAGTAGATGCCAAATTGTGGACAGGAACTGTGTCTTTGGGGGCTTGACAGATGATTCTGTGTGGGTTTACTGACAGGCACACAGAACCATCTGTACAGAGGTGGCAGCAGTGGGATTCTAGCTGCAGGCTGGATGGGCATAGATATTCCTGGGACTTGGGGTTTTGTAAAATGAATGAGAAAAAAAATACCATCAGAGAGAAAAGGGATTTTCTTTTTAAAACTAGGTTTGCTTTCACAACTGTATTCTTTACCTTCATGCTATTCAGCAAAAATGGAATAGCAGGTTATGGGCAGGTATGAGGCCTGCCTGTTGGGGGTTGGCTGACCCTCTTTGTTCATATGGTGCCAAGTCATTCACATGGGCTTCAGAATCAGCAGCCGCATGTATTGTTTAGGCCATTTAGAAGTAGAATTTTGCAAAAGTTTTCACATGTGCTCATTTCCTGGCTATAAGAACTTTTAGATTCTTGAAGTGACCAATAGCTATGTAAGGGCTGTAGCTGGAGGTCACTATGCTCTCTGTCTGAAAAGACATGCACCAGCTTCATCTGAAGAGAGACATGATTAGACACAACTGCTCACTCAGTCAGGGTGATTGTCAAAGACCCATGCTTTGGATAGTTGGTGCTATGCTACCCTTTTGCTAAGCTCTTTGTTACCCACAGCAACCATTTGAAAGATCTGTCATCACACACACAAAAAAATGACTTTAAGACTTAGAAAGATTACAGTCTCATCTAAAATTCTGTCTTATCCTCAATGGATGAGGCTAGATTCAAACCTAGAATTCCAAACTTGATGTTTTTATTACGTTATGTTGCCTCTTACTGATAATTTGGTCACGATAATAGCTTTGTAAATATGGAGAAATGTGACCAGAATTTTCTCACTTAAACTTGCCTCCTCCTTTCCCTGAAGCACATATTATATCTATTTAACACCTTAGATGGCCTGCTTGTGACTTTCTGCTCTTACTACACTTAACAATAATGCAAATGATAGAGGACATCAAATTGAAGCATCTCAAATCCCTGCACCCTTCTCACCGATCCTGTTCAGGTCCCCTGGTGCTTGTAAATGGGCCCTTATAGTGTTTGCACCATGCAAATCTCTTATATAGTGGGAGACCTGGGTTTGTCCAAGAACACACAGCTAATAAGACCTGGGAGTCAAGTATGGAACTTCCTGAATGTGTGACACAAGCTCTTAACCCCTGTCTCCTCAGAAGGGACCATGAATTAATCACTTTGTCTTCTACTCAGGTACTAGCATCCCACTTATGAACCTGGACACTTTGGAATACAATGTGACAGCCACTGAGTTAGACACTTGCAGTGCCAGTGTTCTTTCCTTTTATATATCCACTCTCCTGTCTATAGAAATTCAGGTTATTTAGTGGTTTGGTACAATTATACACACAGCCGCTATGAACATTTTTCTACAGTGGCATTTGAATGGAAAGGGATTGAGGGGCTATAAGGTTTACTGATCCCAGAGATTTCTGGACTGTTTTACAGAGGGATGGTTCCATCTTATTCTTCCACCCCAGGATCTGCTTCCAAGTCAGCACTGGCATTGTCATGCCTTAGAGCTTGAGTCATTTAGGCATCAGCATGATTTTCATTTGTATTTCTTTGATGACTACTGATATCAAGGATTTCTTATATGTTTATTAACTGTCTGGTTATCTAGGGAATGGTATTCAGCAGTAAAAAGAACAAATTACCAATATCCACATCAGCATGAGCAAACTGCATTATTAAGTTGAATAAAACATCCAGATACATTAAAAGAGGAATCATACAATATTATTCCATTTATTTTTCTGGCATCTCACAAGACAAGCAAAACTAATTTGTGGTGATAGACGTTAAAATAGTGATAGTCTCTGGAGTAGACTTTGGCTTAATAGTATAAGGGGACGCTCTAGGATAAAGATAATGTTTCAGATCTTGATGGAGGGGGTTCTATGAGTATAATCTACATGTAAACCAATTTTATTAAAAACCTTGCCAGTATGTTTATTAATTAAAGCATGTGGATTTTTATTTCCCACCAAACAGAATCACTATTCCCATGTCGGAGTTGTGTTGGGCTTGCTCCCTGTGGATGCTCAGGTTCTGTCTTTGAACACCGTCCCTCCCTCCACGAGGTGGGAAAATACCCCTTAGAATTGAGGACTCACCTCTCCAGTAAGTAAGTCCTCAATTCTATCACTGAAGATGGCTCTTCTTCCCAGTGGGAATTTGAGGGGATAATTTAATTTATTGAATTCTTCAATTTTGTTCTCATAACTCCTGTTAAATAAACTACAAACTTGGGCTCGAGGCATTTGAATAGTTTCTATTGATTCTTTCCCAGAACAAAATCTAATTCCATGATTTTGGAGTCAGCTCATTTCTTTCTATCCAGCAGAAGTAAGCCAGAAGTGCACATTATTTCCTCCAGGAGCAACATCTTCTGCAGTCAGGCACTTCTCCTTCCAATGGTGTGTTATATAACCACTGACATCGGCACTTGCCTGCCTACTTGCTTGATCTTACCAAGGGATGAAACTGGTGCTCATATAACTAGCTATCATTTATTTTCAAGAACCACAAGCTTGTTCTGAGATGAATTTTACACTTATCTGGCAGCCTAGCTTTTATCAAGTACATATGATGCCAATAGAGTGGAGGTTGTGGGGTGTGATTTTGTTTGTTTGTTTGGTTTTGGATTTTGGTTCTTTATTTTGTTTTAACTTGAAAAGCACAGGAGATATTTCAGAAAAGCACTTGCCCCACAAGCATGAGGACCTGGATCCCCAAAGCCCCAGTAAATCCTGATGTGGGAGCATTTGCCTGTAATCATAGTACTCCTATGTTGGATGGGAGGGAAAGACAGCTATGCCAGTGTACTTAGCCACAAATAAGTGGCCCCATCTCAAAAAAGGTAGAAGGTGAGGACCAAAATCTAAAGCTATCCTCTGTTCTCCACATGTGTACCCACACTCACATACAAGAACACATACATATGTACACACATCATAAATACATACATATACAAAATTGAGGCAAAATATACACAAATTTATTTGTTTAAAATGTATCCATTTTTAAGTGTATGGACTGTGTGGCAGTAAGGGCCTTAATACTGTTGTATTTATCTCCATGATCCATCTCCAAAGCCCTTTTCATTTTGCAAACTGGAATTCCATGTTCATTTAACATTGCTCCTCTCCCCCCCACCCCAGATCCTGAAGCCACCATGCCACCTTCCATCTCCATGAATGTGTCTGCTATTGACATCTCTTACAAGTGCGATTATACAAGCTTCAGATTTTTGTCACTGGCCTTTTTCACATAGCACAGTATTCTCACAATTCATTTATGTCATTCCATATATGTGCCTTTCCTTTGTAAGGCCCTATACTAACCTGTAGTGTGTGTAAGTGTTGATGACATTTTGTTTAGCCACTGGTCCTCCATGGACATCTGGGTGGCTTCTTCTCTTGCCAATGATGATTATGATTATGAGCATGAGAGTGCAAATCCTATCTAAGTACCTGCTTTCAGTTTGGGGTATGTCCAAGTACCTAGAAGTAAAATTGTTGAAATGTATAATAATGTTATTTTAAGTTATATTTTCAGGAAATGCCAATTCTTCTTTGTTTTTTTTTTTTCATAGTGCCTGTACCATTTAGCTGCTACCAACAAAGTATGAGGATTCTGATTTCTCCAAATCCTGGCTATTTTTATGTTTTATTTTTGTTCTTTTTTATAGTATCTGTCTAAATGAGGGAGTAATTCATTATAATTCCTTCACAGTTGGTAAAATTGAGTCTCTTGTTTATTTTCCTATTGGCTACTGTGTATCTTTGTAGAAATATTTATGCAAGTTGTTTGTACACTTAAAGATGTGGTTGGTTGTTTTCTATTGTTGCATTGTAGAAGTTGTTCACACAGTTGTGTGTTTGAACATTACCCCACTTTGTCTTCACACTAATACATATCCATAACACACCTTTGCAGTTTCACCCTAGAGTACAAATAGTTTACTTTGCAATTCAACTGCAAAATATTTGCAGAGCACCTGTTTCAAGTTTGACATTAGTAAAAGAAATGGGATGCTACAATGAAGTAAAACTGACCAGGACCTCTGCCCTCCTCCTGCACACATTCTGTTCAGAACACAAGAAACATTAGCAACTAAACTATGACTATGAAGTGCAACTAATGCCATGGGGAAAAGCTCAAACAGGAAGAGGGAACACGAAGTGTCAATGGAGGGGACAGGTAGGGAAGGTGTCTTGAGTCCACAATTGATTGAAGACTTAGGAGAAATGGGAGGGAAGAATGACAGTGTGTGGAGGACAATTTCACAGGAGAGCAGGAGTGCAAGGCAAGCCTCTCTGAGTTCAGGCAATAATGATTGGAACTAGTGGGATAATGACTGAACTTCTACTTACAGTTGCCAGTAATAGTCATTTTCCTTCCATTGTTCTATGTGGTTTTAAATTTTTAATGCTTAATTTTGAGATAATTATAGATTGACCTGCAGTTGTGAGAAATAACAGAGTCAGTTCGGTTTCTCCCACGGCAACACCTTCAAGAGAATGCTGAATGTCATCACCTTGTCTGCGCACAGTCATGGATAAATACCTCATGTTGTCTCCCAAAGCCTCATTCTTCCCACCTTCACCCTCCTGGACCTCAATCTGCTATATTTCTGTAATCCCATCCTTGCAGCAAGGTTTTTAAGCATAGTTATGGAGTTCAGAATTTAAGAGTTGGAATTTTTGTCTCTGCCTACTTCATCCAGGTTGCTGAATGTTGTTCTTTTACATTTATTGAATAATAGTCCATACTATGTAGCTGTAACTGTTTGGTTCACTGTTCACTCAATGAAGGACCTTGTAGATGTTATCAGTTTCAGGATATTATGAACAAAGCTGCTGCAAATTCTCACCTGCAGGTTATTGTGTGAACTTTAATTCCAATGCCACAGATGCCCAGCAGTGTGATTGCTGCGTCTTTTTATAGTGGTTTGTTTGGTGTTGTAATAATCTGGATATGCCTGGTTTTCCTGTACTGCTTACACTGCCAGCAGTGACGTGAGTCATGCATTTCCTTGCATCCTCACCTGATTGTTGCATTATTGTTTTTTTTTTTTGCCATCTTGATTGGCAAGCAGTGACATTTCACTCTAGCTTAACTATCCTTTCCTAATGGCTAATTATATTGACCATGGTTCTCCTTTAAAAATCTCAGTGACAGGA